GCGTATAAGTAGAGACTTTTAAAAGCAGATAAGGAGGTAATAGGAGAAGACAAAAAAAGACTATAAGAAGTTAAATATTATTTCCTAAGTAAAACGCTACTAGAGTTCCAATATTTTACTTATTCTTTTTATTCATTAAGTGCCCTAGTAATATGACTCGGTGTTAGGAAACTATCACTATAGAGACGAATCAGGTTACAGGATCTTGCAGTAGTTCAGCAGGAGGGAATGTGAGGCTTATGTGTTTGACGTCCTGAAACTTTTCAAAACTATGAAAGAAAATAGAAAGTCTATTGATGGCAATGAGCATAGGCTGACCACAACTGAAAGACAAGTTCAGTGACTACTTATATAACTTTCATAATTGCTAACCCTTTTTTGACATAATCTCAATATTGAAATGATTTGATTTTGCAAGCCCTGAAGGTTTTGACATAATGCATTTACTGGTGACTAAGTTACAAACAAGCAGAATTTTTTTGCTCATAAATTAAATTAAAAGCAACAAACCCAAGGCAAATTAGGGCAAATAAAAAAGATTTTCATTCATTAGTGTACATTACCTCTCAAATATCCAACTTCATATTCTGATATTTAAAAGAAATTATAGTAATGTGGGTCAGGTGGGGTTTTTTTATTTGCTTGGGTTTTTTTGGCTTTTTTTCAGAACAGTTATATCAAAGGTCCTAACTTCATAAGAAGTTGGAGGATATAGACTGTTTAACATGAAAACAATATATTGCAAAATTCATTAACTTATCTGAAGAAATTTCATGAATCCTCACATAGAAAATATTTATTTTCATTTCTTAAAAGCAAAACAATCGCAGTATGTCTGTTTCCATCTCAGAAGTAACAAGAAATATTTTTGATGAATAAACAGCTCCAGATAAAACAGAAATCTGCTCATTAATGATTCTGATAGGTAGTCTACAACTCAGAGCTTTAAGAAGTTTTTATGAGAATATTAATAAGATAATTTAAGTATTCTAAACCATAATTTAAATCATAAATTGAAATTTATTTCATTTCCTACCACTTCTTTAATCATGTTGATCTTTTAATCTATATCATTTTCATAGAGAATTTATAAACAATAACAGTATCCTAATAATCAAAATATATAAATTAATTCTAAATATGCAGAATTGTCACATCCATACATTATATTTCCATAATATTGCAGATGAATCCATATTAACATGAAAGTGACTGTTAACATTTTTCAGTTCTTTCCTTCTGGTTTGGATAATCTTTTTTTTTTTTTTAATGCATGCAAAAATTCCATATTTCCTATTTATTAACAAGAATTTTTATTTTAGCCTTCTTCCTGAAGCATGAAATTACCTGTGTGCACAGGTAATTTAGGCTGGCAACATGTGTTTTTTGCCTATACAACATACACTGGAGTTGATCTCAATGGGTACTCCTTGTCAGTGATAGCATATTTCAGGCTCCACAGCCATTCATATCTCAGAGAGCATTTTGAAATGTTTAATACTATTATCAAGTTTGATAAGGTTTTTTATTTATACCAGTCCAGAATATACTGGTCATGAGTCACCAGCTCATCTTACACAGTCTTGAAAAATCTACCACTGGTCATTATTACTATTTAGCAATAACACTGATGAAATTCTGTGTACTTATATTAGGAGTTGACTTTTCATCATTGCTTTAAGTGTTAGCTTTACCTTCCTGGATACATGTTTTTCCCTATGTATTATTATATTGTAAACAAAATATTTGATTCAACTACTTTTTTTTTACCCCATTTTTGTAAAAATGAAAAGATGCAGTAAGTTAAACTGTTCTCTTTAGAAAACTTGCACTCAATTTAGCATACAAATGTTAGTTCTATATGCCCCTGGTGCAGTTTGCTTCCGAATAGAAACCTATATGGTTTCTATTATGTATTTTCATTGTTTTTGTTGAGTTTCATATTAAAAATCTGAGACTGGTAGAACAACAGTTCTTACTGCTCTTAGCGCTATCATCATTTAGTAGGGTCTGCATTGATAGGACAAGGGGTACTGGTTTTAAACTAAAAGATATTTGATTCAGAATATAAGATATTTGCTATAATATAATATATATATATAAATATATTTAAGATACATAAGAAAGACATGTTTTAGAATGAATGTGAAACACTGCAACAGGTTCTCCAGAGATGTGGTAGATGCCCCATCCCTGGAAACAAAACTCAGGTTGGACAGGGCTCTAAACAACCTGATCTAGTTGAAGATGTCCCTACTCATTGCAGGGGGCTTTTAAAGGTCCTTCCAACCCAAACCATTCTATACAGGATAATGGCCAGAAATGAAACAAGGTAAACTCTTCCTCTGGTGTCTGCTAGTGCATTTACATCTATGAGAAGAGGCAAAGAAAATAATCTAGAAGACATCAGTTTAACAGACATAGACCTTATTCAATTCTTAAGTGAATTTTCTGATATGAGTAATAATTAAAAAGCTGAGTGCTGTATGAGGAAGACTATGTGGAAATGCAGATGCAAACAATATTCTCTCAGGTTCTCCTTCCCCCAAAGAATAGAATGGAAAGGTCTTTACAATTTTGCAATGTTAATGGGTTGATTAAAAACAAGATTTATAGGACACAGTCTTTACTTCTCCCTCTTTAGATGTTTTATTGAGCAGTAAGAAATCCAAGACTCCCAAGACTATTAAGAGAGAGAAAGAGGATAGCTCCTCACTCTATAGGAGTCCAATGCAAATACTTACCTGGAATTGAGAAGTGCTTCCAGATAATCTAGTTCCTGCTACAAATATACTTTGTCCATTACCTAATCAATTTTAGTGGAAAATACTCAAGGAAACCTTGTAGAGAGGACTGGAATCTAGGATTCCTCCATCTCAGAAAAGAGTCATTATCACTTTTGTAGACTTTGTCGTCTCCCTCCAGCTTCTTCATGCCTAGTCTAGATTCTGCATGAATAGGGAAGATGGACTGCACTGTCCTACAGCCCAAATTCTAATGGTCTGAGCAGTGTTCTGGTAACCAAGGAATCAAATTAAAATCTGCTTTCAATTGCTCCCCCCCCCCTCCCCATCCCCCAACAGGAATTGTACTTGAACCAATTTTTTAAAGAACGTGGTCTACCTTAACGGTAGATGATATACCAAAATGCTTATCCAGTCCAAATCCATGATGTCACTAAAGTTAATGTCACTAAAAGATTTTATCTGTTGCCTTTTTTTTTTTTAATGTGAACTGATTAGTGAATTATTATTGGCTTGAACAGGAAGAATTTCAGAAGTCAACCTCTACTGGAATTGTAACAAAAATTCTCTACTGGTTAAAGTCTCTAGCTTTAAGTTAATCCTGCTCTGGAAAGCCCATATATTGTGCATTCCACTCTGTTGGTGAGTCCTTTAACTGGTTTGTAATACTGTATAGTAACTTCATACACGCCCACACTCCTTCTGCAACTCTGCTTCTGAATGAAATTAGCTGAGTCAATGGGTGCTACGGTTTGTGCTGAACTTAATACCAAATAAAACCAAATAGATTGTAACACAGATGCAGGATAGATTCTTTCACAGGTTTCAAATGTGGTAGGTGACACAGGTCAGTGTCGAGAAGTTCTTTCTTAAGATAGTACAAGTCATTACGTAAGTCTAGTGTTGAAAAGGTCAGTGCCCCGTTAGTGACTGGGCAAGTATGCAGTGAGACAAGTGCAATATGAAATAATGATGATGGTGCAGGTTTGTGTAGCATTTGGTGGAGTTAATATTTCATAATAACCATATCTAGCTTAGAGAAAGCAACAGACAACTGGAATAGATGTGGGTTTTCTCATATTCAGATTAATGACATGATCTTTCAGCTTTCAGACTTTTGTTTGCTTGCTTTTCAAATGTCTCTGGTATAAATTCCTAAACTAATTGGGAGGGGTGGAATGGGCATGCTTTTTACATACAGCATGAACATAGCATAACAGTAATAACGGCTTACCTGTTCCCTTTAAAAGTCACACTGAATATATACTTTCATTGAACATGATTATATATTTTGTTTTGTAATCTTAGCAAAAAATGCTAGTTTTCATTCTCATTATTTGTAACTCTCAGAGTCTGGTCTCTATCATGGTTGTATTTAAACACCAAAAAAAGAAAACCCCATCTGTGTAGATTAGTAGAACATAAATGATGCTAGATCCCCTTTAAATTTTGGAATCTGTTCTACTTTTGTGCTTCAAATCTTCAAAGTACAGTAATATACAAATGCTCCCTTTTTATTACGTGATTGAAATAAATGCCATTTCACTGTCAATACACTTGACATTCAAGTACTTTAATATTTTATTTTTCTTTCAGAGTGGAAGCAAGTCTACTAGGGCTCATTTGGGGTATTGTAGAGTTGTGACGAACAGCAGAACTGAGCTTAAGGAAAAAGCATCTATATAAATGTGACATTCAGTAGTTTATCATGTGACTCCCAAGTTCACCCACACCCTAATCAAATACAAAGTCTTATTACACGTTTTAATGTCATAGAAGTTGCAGCTGGCTTCCATAATCCAGGATTTCCTGCCCAAAAGGACAAGGGGTCTTTGGAAGTTTAAGAAGTCTTAGTACAGCCTAAACTATTTAAAAACGACGGCAAGTGAACAATGTATACCCGGACATACTGAAGTATAAAAGCTTGTTTTACATTTCGGTAGAGACCCACAAGGTGAATTCTGCTTCTGCGCGCCTCTTTTCCTGCAGATTTTTGCATTTCCATGCAAAATCATCAGTGCTTTGTTCCCCGGGAGGCACAGGCCGTTCTAAGGAAGGCTCTCCCGCGTCTTTTTCTCCAGTGCCCCGTCTTTCCCCTCCATCCCGGGCGGGCGGGAGCGGCAGGGCAGAATGCGCGGTGCCGGGAGAACCCACCTAGAGGGCCCCCTTGACGCCAGCACAGCTTCTGCCAGGCAGAGAGCCCTCTCCGCAGCCGAGCCCAGTCTACTGCAGGGCCAGTGCCACGCAGCCCGACACTGTCCGGGGCTGCCGCTGCTGCTGCTGGGCGGGGAGACCAGGAGCCCGAGGGGAGGCCGGAAATTCTCGTCCGGGAGAAGGAAGAGAGAGCCTGTTGACTCTGAATTTGCTTCAAAATAGACGCCGTCTCTGTAGCCTGGGCTTAAGAATCTTTCCGAGGATACTTACCAGACCGTAAGGAGTGATAACTACTGTCTAGGACCTGAATTGGGAAAAAAAAAGGACAGCAGAGAAAGAATGCTTAGGTAACACGAGACTTATAGCTTTGCTTTCGTTTTGCCACTACAAATTGATGCACGTGGGTTTATATACAGTGTAACACCAAAACAGAACTAGATTCTGCAGTGAGAGTCGATAGCTTAGTCATTTTACTTAAAGGGAGCATGCAGGCTTATTATGGGGTTAGACAGCAAAAATGAATTTGGTCACAATATGATCACATCTCTCGTTGTTATCTAACTGTAGTCCTGTCCTATGGAGTGCAAAAAGCATACTTCTTTCTTTCTTAGCTAAAGAAACAAAGTCACAGTATTAAATTCAAAGAAGTTTGGGGTTGTTGTACAAGGCTATTAACATCATCCTATTCCCTGGGCTTGTAAGAAAGGAGAACTGCATTAAATTGATCACTGATGAATATGTGTCTAAGAAAGAAGAAAAAGCAATATTCATTTCTGAACATGGCAAAGCAATCTGAAGTTACACATCTCTCCCTAAACACTGATTTGGCACAGATGGCAAGAAACTATCTTTTCACTAACCTTTTCCAACTGTCCAAAATGCTGCACATGAAGATGCTTTAATTCACAGTCAAAGCACTTGGATTTTTATCAAGGCAAACTGTTGGCATTGTCAGAACAGTTTCTGTATACTGATTAATTTAATGTTTCTTTAAAATAGCAAATGATGCATAAATGGATGGACGTGTACCTAGAAAACCCTGTGAGAAGTCTTTCATTGGATCCTGTGAATTTTTATTTTTGTGGATTACAGTAATTCTTCCAATAATCCCTGCTGTTGACTGCTCATGCAGTTGTTCTGGCATGCATCTATGAATACCATAACAGATAAATCTGGCTGACAAGGAAAACGCTAATGTTGGAAGATCTGTGAACATGATGCATGTGAATAATTTCCCCTTTAGGAGGCATTCATGGATATGGTGAGTAATCAATACACATTATAGACTGTTAGACGCAAAATGCTTCTTTGCAAAATACTGTGGCAAATACCAGCTGCTATGTTTTTCCCTAAATTAATGTCAAAAAGGGCTAATCGAGGTATGAGCAAAATTAAAATCTTACAGAGATAGTAGTGATGAAGTAATATGAGTTTGGCACTCCTTTGCCTTTACAAAATAGGCAAGTTATAAGAACTGTATTGTTATGGTCGTGTTTTCTTATATGGTAACAGTATTTTGAGCAGGGAGATGTGTTTTCTTCCTATATCAAAGGAACAGTTTTCCCCATTTATTTCTTAGCCTGACTTGAAGGAAATAGCAGAGATATTGTCCCCCTATGATATTGTTTTGTTTGTCCTGAAACTTATTTATATATATACTTTCAAGTGACCTGAAAACAGGAAAAAACGCTCATTCATATGGGCATTCAGTAATCTTTAATAAATGCCTTTGTATGGTAGGTTCTCAAATGTGATTGCTTGAAAGTCAATCATATAGCATTAAAATCCCTTTATCATCATTAAAACATCTGGTTCCTCTTTGAATCACTGGTGTCTATAGTTCTTCCTGACTGAAAAAAACCTTTCTACTTTCCTTGCAATACAGTGCAGTTAACTTGCATATAAATGCTACCAGTGGTTGTTGCGTCATGCCTTGCTCCTGATGTTGGGAACCAACGTCTTGGTTAGTGCTCAGTGACTAATTTAACTAAGGCAAAGATATTCCCTCATGAAACTTGCCCTTTGAGTAAATATTGAGTCTTTCAGAATATTAGAAGGAAAAGTTATGGAAGCTATTTTAAGAAAACAAACATCCAAGTTGAGGGGTTGGGCGCGTGTTTGTTTAGCAGGTTTTCCCTCAGTGGGCGTCAGGCTCTGCGCGTCAAGAATCTGCAGGACAGCCTGAGGACGGATTTTCCCCGGGGATGGTGCGGGCACGGCCGCGCTCTCCGGAGCGCCGGGGACACGCCGGGGCCGGCCGAGCCGGGCCGTGACCGCGCTGCCGTCAACGCCGCCACTGCCCCGAGCGCCCAATGGCGGGGCTCGCGCGCCCGCGGTCACGCGGGGGTGGGGTGCCCGGCGGGCCGGACCTTGAGGGGGAGTCGCTCTCATCCCCTCTGCTTGTTTTCCTAATTACTTTTTATAACCTTGCCGTAGGACTGTCTCAGGCTTTGTAACATCCCTTGAGGGCCGGCTTAAAAACGTATCCCCTAAGCAATGAACAGCGAGGTCTTGGATGTATTTAGTCTTCCTTATCAGAGTGTGCTGGAAAGGACACTGCAGGTGTGCCCATACACCTGTCAGGGGGACTGCTTCCATTGTTTCCTAAGAATATGACTTAACTCTCTTTTTAAGAACTTTTAGAAAAAATATGTTATGCATGTCTTAACTCCCTGGGGTTCATCTTCTGACTAAGCATTTTTCAAGCATGAGCCCTGAAGTCTGCCGAGAGAGGTTTGGGACAACCTAGACGTTCTCCGTTTATCTTCTCTGAAAACTGGTTACCTGATTTTCCTTGCCAGCCCCTTGCTGTCTGTCACATTATGTGAAGCCTTGTTTGGGGAAGACTGGCAGAAGTGTTTACTGGGAAGATGTAGGAAGATAATGATATGTGCTATATTTGCAATTTAACTGAATGCAAACCATACTATGCCTGCGTATGTGCTTACCTAATCACAGACCTTGATTTAGAATGCAGATGTTTCTAGCTGTTCATCTCAACTCTTGGAGAACTGGCAAATTTGCTTATTCATGCTACAGTAGTTCCGTAAGGAGCATTTAGAGGTGCCAGGGTGTTAAGCTGCCAGTCATTGCTTTTGTTTTAATTCAGAACCTTCAAAAATCCATGCATTGCCTGTAAGATATGTCAACCTTTTCTATTGTGAATACAAATTGTCATGAAGAAAAGTTTTATATATATATATAATGTCCTCTCATGCTACTTTCAGATGTTCTTTAAAGGATGACAATGAAGATAAAGAATATCTTTCATGGCACACAAATAATTTTGTGTTTATTCAATAGAAATACTAGTTGATTGTCTTTAATAATGTTTCCAAAATGCTGATGCAACACATAAAAGGTATTCTGTGGCCAGTCTTATATGCATCATGATATTTGTAACCTCTATGTACATACAGAAACAAATATTTTAGAAGTAGGACTCACTATTTTCAGTATCTTAGAGATGTTGCTTTTTAAAGATACTTTAGAGACATGCAGTATGCCTTCATGTGCCAGTTCTTGTTTGTCTCACGTGGAATATGGGGAGAAAGAGTTGGGGGGGGGAATAAAAATATAAACCTTTTTAAAATATAATGTGTTATTTCAAATATTCAGGATTTAGTGTTGTGTAAGTAGTCAAGGGGTGGATGTGCCTTTTGCATTAGGCCCTGTATGTGGATTTAGGGAAAGAATGATGGCCCTGAGAGCAGAATTTGGTTAGGAACCCATATGCTTTTGGACATGTAGTGAGAATTCCAGTATCTGAACCCTCCTGGTAACCTTAGCAATAGGTAGGAACTGACTGCTGGCAAAAAGCAGCTATAAAATACTGTATGTTTCAAGCAGCTATATGTTTCAAGGCAGTATGACTGGGGGCACAACTGTATCAGACAGATAAGGGTAACTTTGATCTGAACGGACTCTAAAGGGTGTATAAAACTGAAACTGAAATAGACAAAAAAGAGGTATTTTGTCTGAAATTGTTTCAAAGAGTTTGGATTGTAGAGAAGTAAATACAAATTATATTAAAGGGGTGCAGTGAGTGGGGCAAGTGATATCTTGGATGACGATGAAGTTAGTCCTAGAAATACTGAGACACATTTGTGATGATAGTAGGAGGAGTGGGATTTTATAACAACTTACTGCATTACACACCATACAACATAAATTATGTATTAACAGTATACAGCTTACTGCCATTCACACTGACAGTTATTTTAGAAACATTTACTGCTGAGTTATGTAACCTAGCTTTCCTTTCCATTACATTTTATCTGCATTTGTGATGACAAACCAAATAAAGATAAACATGGCATTCAATTTTAGCTTGCTTAATTGCATAAGCAAATACTGTATGTGTCATTTAGCTTTACCATAAGGAAAACAGATGTGAGAAACCCATGTCCAAGAATAGCTGTCTTTAAACTGGCAAAGATTTGAAATTAATCCACAGGTGAATATATTGACTTCAGAATCTAAAATGTAACCTATGACTATTCATCCTTTTCTACCAACTTTTGGCCTATTAGGATTGAATGAAATTTAGTTTGGTTACCAAGACAATGGGTAAAGAAAAAAATAATCCTTTTTTGGTTGCTTTGAAATCCCACCATATTTACTTGACTATTATTGCTCTATATATTTAATGAAAAGCAATGCAAATGCATGGTTATAGATGTTATTCCTTGCCTCGTATTAATTTTATTACTGACTAATTTTTCAAGAGCATCTTAGTATCGAAATTTATCATTAACCATCAGTCTTGGCTAACCAGGGAGGTCCCAGATGACTGGAGTTTGGCCAATTTGACACCTATCCACAAGAAGGGCTGGAAGGAGGATCTGGGGAACTACAGGCCTGTCAGCCTGACCTTGGTGCCCAGGAAGGTCATGGGACAGATCATCTTGAATGTGATCACGTGGCTTGTACAGGACAACCAGCCAGCAGAGTTTGGGAAAGGCAGGTCCTGCCTGAGCACCTGATGTCCTTCTATGACCAGGTGACCTGCCTAAGTGGATGAGGGAAAGGCTGTGGATGTTATCTACCCGGTCTTCAGCTGGAGGTCAGGAAGGCTCTGCAGAAGGTCTGGACAGGCTGAATTGATGGGCCAAGGCCAACAGTACAAGGTTCAACAAGGCCAAGTGCTGAGTTCTGCACTTGGGTCACAACAACCTGAGGTAGTGACATAGGCTGGGAATGGAGTGGCGGGAAAGCTGCCTGGCAGAAAAAGACCTAGAGGTGCTGGTCCACAGTGGTTGAACATGAGGCAGTAGTGTGCCCAGCTGGCCAAGAAAGCCAATGGCATCCTGGCGTGTATCGGCAAAAGTAGGCCAGGGAAGTGCCTACACTTGGCTCTGGTGAGGCCCCACCTCAAATCCTGTGTCCAGTTTTGGGCCTCTTAGTACAAGAAGGACATTGAGGTGCTGGAGTGAGTCCAGAGAAGGGCTACAGAGCAGAGGGAGCTGGGGTTGTTTAGCTTGGACGAAAGAAAACTCAGAGGAGACCTTATCACTCTCTACAGTTATCTGAAAGGAAGTTGTAACCAGATGGTGTTGGTCTCTTCTTCCTGGCAACAAGAGGGAATGGCCTCAAGATGTGCCAGGGGAAGTACAGGAAGAATTTCTTCAGTGAAAGGCTTTTTCTTCACTGAAAGTATTGGAAAGGACTGCCCAGTGAAGTGGTGGGCACATCACTGTCCCAGGAGATGTTCAGAAAATCACTGGACATGGCACTTAGTGCTGTGGTCTAGTTGACAAGGTGGTGTTCAGTCAAAGGCTGGACTCAATGATCTTGGAGGTCTTTTCCAACCTAAATAGTTCTGTGATTAGTAAATTCCTGAATTAATGCAATTATTAATAAGGTCCTGTCTTCTGTTTTTGTCAGTGTTCTAAAATAATCATGCTAAATTGTTTATTTTTACATTTTATGGAACTTTATATGATTTTCAGCCATCCAAAATTTTGGTTTGGCTTTCCATTGTTAAGTAAGTTCTCCCACTTCATAAAAATAGAATGTGTAACTGTGAAGAAAACTGATGGTAGATGAAGATCTTTATGCTAATACATAAAATCAGCTTTTCTTTATGTTCTTAGGACATGATGAGTCACCTCAGCTCACGAAGTTACGGGGAACTGAGTCTGACCAGTGCTATGCCATTCTCTTTACTATGACATAACTCTTCACTTCTAACCTCAGTGTTTCATGCTGGTATTTATTCATCTGCCTGTTCTAAAAATACTTGTATTTTATAGTGGGGAA